TCACCAGAGCAATTAGTAATTAGAGCCACTGGTGGTCTGAATCCCCAGCTCTCCGATGCCTGGAAGTTGGCAGTAAGGAGTCGAGTGCAAAATAAACCACGGATGAAACAAGGAGGCCTCCAGCAATTCAAACCCAGGCTAACAGAGGGCATTTCCCCAGGCCCTTCCCAGTGTGGGATCAGGCCGGCCCTCTGGACTTCCTGGGAGATACACACCCCACATCAGTGCACAAGAACAAGAGAGAGGGAATGTGAAACCTCTAAGAGCAAGGATTTGACTTGGCTAGAAGTGACCTCTTGAGTAACAAAAAAGAAACTACTGCCTTGTAGCCCTTAGGAATCAAGAAGGAAGTCCCCCCAGCAGGGTTTGGAAATAGAGAACAATGTATAATATAGGCGTATCAACCGGCCCCAAGCCTCCCTGAGTAGCCTGGAAAGATCTGCAGCCCCTGTGATGCGGTCTCCACTCAGAGGACACCCAGAGTCCCCTCTACCTCTGGGATCTTCCCAGTCCCACTCCGGGCTGGAGGCAAGAAGGGAAAGGGAAAGCCATAGCTGCAGTATGGGGTAACTATATGAGAACCGGGGATAACCAGCCTTTTCTGTGGCCGTCCTCAACCAGAACACTGACGGGAAAGAACAAGATGGCTGGGAACATTCTCCAAGAGGCTGCCATTGGACTGTAGTGGAAGGAGCCTTTGTCAGCCACGTGACGGAAGCAGCAATGGAGACTTCAAGTGAAACCTGGGAAAACACTTTGTCCCTCAAAACCACTGAAATTCTAAAAGTTACCAGAAATGAGATTGTATGGTGACCTGACAAGGTCAACAAAGTCCAGTCCATGGGTTGAGGGAGAGCATGGGTTGAAGTCTGCACATTTTCAATGGTGCAACAGGTGTGTGCGGATCCCCAGAGCAGAAGCCTGGGATTCAGCTTGGAGGTTCTCCTGTGTGTTCCCAGCTCCGGGGATGAGGAGCTAATGGCCTCATCCAGACCTGTTCCTCCATTTCTTACCTCCTCCCGTCTCAGGACCTCACTGGCCAAGCACTGGAAACACCCAACACTAATCCCACCTGAAAGTGAGGTGTGGCACTAATTGCCAATACTGGAAAGAACATCCAAATAGACAGGTTTCAGAAAAAAGCCAACTCTCCATATCCAGCTTCAAAAATCACAAAATTCAACAGATCCTTAGTGAACATCTATGATCCACAAGGCATGTGGGAAAACCTTTGGGATTATCGGATCACATCCTCTATATGGTTCACACCTGCACATGAAGTAACTGTCAATGTCATCAGTGGGCTTTTAAAGATACAACAAGTACACTAGATGGTATGCTGCTATTTAATTGGATAATTCAGTTAAGGCCACCCTCTCCAGCCAAGACCCTGAAATAAATTAGAAGATTGCACAGCAATAACTTGCTAACATCCTCCCTCTATTGTGCACTGATCAGGAAGGGTCCATAAATGTGGTCCAAAGTGGGTTTGACAGAGGGAGAAAGGTAGCAGCTGCATCCATTCTGAGAAGGCTCACAATGGCCACAGGGGGAAGGGGCCAAGCCAGAGGAAGACCCCTGCCGCTCATTGACCCTTGTGCAGAGTGTTCTGGAAAAAGCACAGGGACATCCGGGGTAATCAGGAGGGGTCTGGACCTGCCTCCAGCCAAACAACATCATTATTACATCACTTCTTGAATTCTTCCTCTGAGCCTGGAACCCCCTGGGCTACTCTCTTTGTCTCACACCCACCTGCAAGACACCAGAACAACCCGCCACAATCTACCAGAATCCAATCTGCTCGCCATCTCCACAGGCTCCATCTGTCACCTAAATGGTTGTGGCAGCCACCTGTCTGCCTCACTCTACTTTGCCCTACAGCCCATTGTCTACACAGCAGCCACAGGGAATTCCTTTGGAATGTCAATCAGATGTGTCCTACACATAAGCTTCTGTTACCCTTCTTTCTCAGAGCAAAAACCTCTTCAGAACAGAATTCAAAATCCTCAGGTGGTGCACCAAGTCCTGATTTAGTCCTTGGCTTGCTCTCTGACCTCTTTTCATACCACCGAAGCTGCTTTGCAAGAGGGCAATTCTATGAACATGCCAAGCACACTCCTGCCACAGGACTTTTGCACATGACACAGCCTCATCAGGAATGCTCGGACTCTAATAGCCATACACCTCCCTCTCTCACTTCTCATGTCTGTCTGCTTACATGTCTGCCACCTCCTTGGATAGGCCTTCTCTGACCACTGATAACAGCACACCTAGACACACTCATTTCAAGCACACCCCTGAAATGCCTGTTTTATTGACCTCCACGGCATTTGTCACCAACCTGGGATTTTACCAAAATTATCGCCTGTCTCCTTCACTAGAGTGCATGTTCCATGAAGATAAAGACTTTGCATTGTACTTTTTTATATCCCGTGCACTTAAAACTGTGTGTGTGGTACATGGACCATGGTCGATATTCTTTGGAGTGAATGAGTAACTCTTGATTTTAATTTCCTCATTGGCTAAAGGGAGGTAATAACTCATCTGCCTCCTGGAGCTGTTCTGTGCTTATGTGAGATAAATATGTGGAAGCACCTTGGAGAGTATAAAATCCAGTCCTCTAAGGGAAAGCTACTATTCACTTCTTCTCGCGCACTTGCTTTGGAAGGAAGCAGAGTCAGAAACTCCATCAGCATCACTTTCTTCAGGTGAGATGCATAGATACTCGAGGAAACAGAGCCAACATCCTGTGGTAACTCCAATTCCTTGACATACAGCTTTTTCCATGAAGAAAAGAAATCAGGGTGAAAGTAGAAAGGTAGAAAGTCTTGGGGTGCGGATTGCTACGGAGAATGGCAAGCCAGCCTTGTTGTCACTGGCAAATTCCACACTCGGAAATGTTAGGGTGAATGGATGCCCAGAAAGAGGAGGAAACACACTCACTCCAGGCCCACGCCCCAGCCCTGATCCAGATCCCCGGGCAGCACGAGGGCCCCCTGTGGTTTCCATAACTAAATGGCATGGTCCATAAGCTGCTATGAACGCTGGCACGGGGGACTTCTAGAACTCGGGCTTTTGAAAGCCATACCGCTCTTTGGGTAATTTGTCCCATTTTGCTTCATTCTGTGCCTCTGCTCCCAGAGGAGTGGTAACAATGAGGAGGGAGGAAGAGTGAGAAGAGGGCGGGGGCAGACAGGAGACCTCAGAATGGGGGGTGGGGGGAGAGCTCGAGGGGTGGGAGGAGCCTATTTCCACTCAGCCTCCCAGGAGGAAAATAAAACCCAGAGAAATTGGTCTGGGAGGGAACAGGGCTTCAGGCCAGGATGGGGTGGGTGTGAAGTGGCAGGAGGAGGGCTCCAGGCATTAGGAAGCCATGGGCTGAGCAGGAAAGCTTCAGGAACCTGAGGGAACCCACCAAAGAGGACCAAGAAAAGAAGGCACCATCTGCTCCTGCAGCTTTTCTCCCATGCCAAATGCCACCATCCCCTTGGAAAGTCCTTTCCGCAGTCCAGGACCACCTGCGGGCAGTCCTTGCTTACACAGGGAGGACAGGTGGAGAGTTGAACTTCACAACCCTAGGCCCTACATTAAGTTACATCTCATCCCCAGCAACTTTTGCCCTCAGATTCCAAACAGCTAGTCCCTGCATAGATCCCTTTAAATGTACCTTGTATGGACTATTCCTAGAAAGTAGACAATGTTTTGCTTAAATAAGAATACATTGACTCTACTCCTGGGGATAAAAATACATTATATGTTTATAAAAAAAAATTAAAAAAAAAAGAATACATTGAATATTGACCATGTGCCGGAGAATCTTCCAAGTGAGGTATGTGCGTCATCCTCCCTCCTCTTCCTAATGCCTGCACTCAGTCGTCTCCATTACCACACCCCCTGCACCTCTGGGGAAGCAGACTCTCAGGGCGGAAAAACACCTGCTGGAGCTTATGTGATGGATAAGGGCACCACCAGGACCTGAGCCTAAGCCCAGCAGTCTCCCATCACGCCACCGCACCTCCAGATAGCTACAGGAGAGATTCTGAGAACACGCATGGCACCAGAGGTGACCCCAGGCTTGGCTGTCTCAACGGGCGGGCTAAAACCCTAGAAGCACCCCGAGTTCTCCTACTGGGACCAGGAGAAGGCAGCCCTCAGGTGGGGACAGGAAAGTCAGAGCCCAGGACACCAAACCTCACAGATCTTGGCTCCAACAGCCAGACCTGGATGGAAAAGTAAGGCAGAGAGTGCCGAGAAGCCTAGGCATCCTATTCAGCTCTAGAAGGTCAAGGTTACCCTGAAAGAAAGTAACACATAGAGGAAACGGGCCACAACAGGCAGAATGACATCCAGTGGGGCAAAGGCGCCTGGGGAAAAGTAAAAGATGAGTAAAAAATGAAGGAATAATTTAATGACTAGCAAATGGGCCTTCCCCCTTGGACAAGTTCACCTGCCTCGAGGAATGAACGGACAGGTCAGTTTTTGGCTGTCTGTCCTCCACTCGACTCCCTTCAAGAATACAGGGACTACACATGCTTGTGGTGCCCCGGCCACAAAACAACCAGAGGCTAGAAAAGCTCCCAGATACAAGCTTCCATGGGGCAGGTGGGGAGGTGGGGAGAAGAAGGAGCACATGAAACAGAAAGGGCATCTACTCCTCAGCAAGTCCTAAGACCCAAAGAGCTTCTGAGCTTCCCAACCCCCACAAGCCCACCTGGGTTTGACTTTGGTCATCTACAGGTAAGGGTTTCAGAGCTGGGTGAGTGAGCCTTACAACACCCAAAGCCATCTTCGTAACACAAAAGGACAAACCTGAATTGTATATTTGCAAGTTGCGAAGAAAGTAGACCTTGAAAGTTCTCATCACAAGAAAAAAATCTATGTGTTGATGTTAACTAGACTTCTTGTGATCGTTTTGCAACACAGACAGGAACTCTTACGTTGTACACCTGAAACTAACATAAGTCAATTATATCTCAAAAAACATTTTTTTAAAAAAGAACAAACCTAAGAAGTATCTATTTATAAAGCTGTATGCAGTGATTGGATTAGGGATAATTTCCATTTCCTTATTTTTTATTATCTCCATCTTATAAATCATTCACAATAAGTATATTCTATTTATAATAAAAACCCATTTTTCAAAACAAGAACATTAAGCGGGCCACAAACGCCCCCAATTTCACCAACTTTTCACTTTCTCAAAGTTAAATACTCTCAGATGACTAGAAACATAGTTGGAATGCCTCTTTCCATCTGATAAAAAGATTAATCACTGTAGTCCAATTTATGTTAACTCTGCTACCAAAAAAAAAAAAAAAAGAAAGAAAGAAAGAAATGTAGCTTCTGTTTCTTGGTGAAAATCACAGTTATTACCTCAACTCCAGCTGGACGATGGAAAAACAACATTAAGGATTGAAAGATCATCCTCGCTTACACGCTGAGTTTTGGAAGAATATTGTAATTGGAAAAAAAAAATTAAATACAACTAAAAATGATTTCCAGAACAGACTCTTGGTTCCCATGGTTGGCCCTCCTTTGGTCTGGTGACACTGCTGGGACCTTCTCCACACGGCCCAGGGGCCTACGTCCTCCCCCACTCCTTCGCTTGCTTCCTTTCTCCCTTCCCACTTTCCCTTTTTCACTCCTCTATTTAAGTTTGCCAAATTCAAGTTTAAACAACGCTAGATCTCCAGGTCTGATAGTCGAAAGGCTGTTGTCGGGCATACCATCCCTAAACTTGAGCACGGAAACCGACCGGGATGAACTCCGGGGGGCGAGCCGTGAGCAGTGGGACCATGAGAGAGGGGTGGAGTTCACCAGATTTGCATTTCCTCTGGACCATTTTCACCAGCTGGATCCTACGGATGGATCGATACATAAGAGGCACGGAGACCATCCATGCTGGTTTGCTCAGGACAAAGGAATTTCCCAGGACACAGGCCATTGAGCGCCAAAACCAGGATGGCCCCAGGCCAGGTAGGAGAAGCTGGTCACCCTAAGGCCTTCGGATACCTACTTCAAAAAAACTTCGAACTCTAGAAGATGCCCAGATTGGAGATCGCACATGTGCACAAGCCCAAGACGCACACACAGAAGCACATATAGTCACATGTAGTCACACACAGGATCTCTCTCACACACGCGCGTGTGTGTGCACCCCTGCACGTATGCCTGGTCACGGCACGTCCCTTTCTTTCCCTCATTCTCTTTTCTGGGCAATTCTTATAATTCGCCTTGTCATGGGGAGTGGATCCTTCTCCCTCTGAGTGCTCACCTTCTCACAGCTCTCCCGGGTAGGACAAGGGATATCCCTCTCTGAAATCGGAAAAGAGCATCTTGCCAATTTCGTGTGTTTATGTTTTTACACAATGCAATCATCAGCTCATTAAAAGGTTCACCTCCCCCCCCCCCCCAGAGAGAGATGGCCTTTTCCGGTTTTGATATTATCAGCATGTCTACCAGTGACCTCTGACTCAGGTTGTAGGACCTCTGACCCTGGCAGTCCTGTGTGGCAGGGTCCTGAAGATTACGAGGAGCCTGCATCTCCCGTTCACTCAGAAACGAAGGATGCGGATCAGGGACCCCGAAGCCGAGGCCCAGAACGGGGCATCCTCATCTGGGAGGAGAGTCACTGCTCTGGATCTGTCCTTGACTGCGACTGAGCCAGCTAGAAACATGGCCCTTTGGGGGCTGATTTGCGATTAGTGTTTAATTGCAGACAGTGCTTGTCTACATAAAAATGAATCCTCTGAAATCAGCAGGCCACAATAAAGAACTTGCTCCTGTTGTGGACGTCAACAAAGCGCAAGTTATAGAAAGATGTTGGTCACTGCCTACGTCTGCTAGCAAGTCTGGGGGAAAAACTCCCCAGATCAGAACCAAAAGTGCTGAAATGTTCCACAAGTGGTGGTAGTAAGTTAAATAACGATTCTACAGGGAGTATTAAAGATTCCAAAGTCTCTTCTATATTTTTCCCCAAATCCCCTTCAGCAGAATATAAAATGTCCCCAAAGCGTAAAACAAATACAATGTTGCCACTCTCATCTTACATAAAAAAGAAATGTTCAGCAACTTTTTTTTTTATACTTCTGTGGCAGTGAGATTAGGAAATCTGGAAAGCTTTCCGGCTCTAATTGCTTATTTTTGATCTATTGCGATTCTTTGAATTTTGTAAATTCTGAGAAAAAACGGCAGAACAAAACAGTCTAAGCCACGGACTTAGTCAATTTTATGCTTTAAAAAAATTTTTTTTCGAGGAAACCATCCAATTACAAATGTGCAAAGAAAACACTGTGTGGGCATGGAGACATGATCGAAATTTGTTCACCTGTTGGGTCCGTAACGTGATTGCCAGGACCAGCCCACTGACCGACTTGGGCAAACGGCCTGATATTCGGGACCCCCGCCTCCTGACTCGGAGTGTTACGGGACGGCTGTTCAAGACGATTCCCAAAGCCTGTCCATTCCAGCACACGACATTTCTATCATTACAGGAGGTGGCTGGGATCATGTAATATTCCACATGAGGCTCAGCTAATACTCAGCTGATGGGAACTTGATTAATAAAAATTTTAAATAAAACTTCTAAAAACACCTAATTCAGCCTTCAAGAATGAGGCAGGTTTCTGCCTCGATAAACATAGGATACATCGTTCTTTAATGACCAAAGCTCCCACAAACATCCACATTAGCATCTACTAAGAAAGAAAGATGGAAACAAGGTCAGTTGTTTGGTTTCAAGAGCCCCAGAGATCAGAAGACCAGAGCATATGCTCAGCTCCCTCATCAAAATAAAATGCAAGAATCAAATGAGCTCATTGACACGTGCAAAAGCACTTTGCAAGTGGTGAAGATCAAAGGCAAGACATTCTTTTTAAATTTGGCGGAATACTTGGTTGGCCAGGGACCTGCCTGAAAGTCGGTTCTGTCAAGTGAAAATGTTGGTGGGCGTGAGAGGGGCCTAAATCTTGGCTTGCTTTTTGTTTTTGAGAGTGTCTGTCTTCTCTAAGTACGGGTCCAGAATACAGACAGGCCTGGCGAACTGAAGGGTCTGATCACAGTAATTGAAGTATCCCAATAAAAAGACCAATCAGCTATAACTGGTATGAGACACAGTGCAGCAAAAATTTCTTGGTCCTCTAGCATTCTGTTGTATTTTCCCCTAATGTCATGGTGGGTTTTCCTTTTCTAACCTAATATATAAACCCTCTAGGTTTAAACCCAACATTAACAGGAAAAAAAGCAAACCCAAACCCACCATGACCTAAACAAGCCATATACTCTGATGAGCTAATGCACTTTAATGAGGCTGAACTGGTCCTCACAGTTTAATTAGTCCATGTAAGATAAGGGTCAGCAAGGACAGGAAATGTAATTATGGATAAGACTCTGAGAGACAGTCTCCTGGGATGGGGTCCCTCAAATACTGTTTCAACCTCATCTCTCCCCCTCCACCTCCAAGTGTTACCACGGTGACATATATTAACATCTTCCTAATGATGAATTTTATTTCGTGCCAGAATCCGAAGTTGTATCCATGGCAGATGCGTAGGTTTGGGGTCAGATCTGTGTTTAAATGCAGCTCTCTCACTCATCAACTCATGTGACCTTCAAGAGCTATTTGACCTCTGAGCCGCTTGCTTACCTTTCGAATGGGGAGAGCATCAGTTGTTGGCTTGTTGGGAAGATCGAAAGCAAAAGGACCCTGGCGTTAGGCAAATGTGAACGCCATAGTCTGTCCTCTACTTTCTCTTTTCCCACTCTTCCCTCTTCCTTTTCTAATAGATTTGTCAGAAAAACGCACACAAATCTCTCCAGCAGTTTTCCATCTTACTAATGGAAGGCTGTGCAACCCCAGGGAGCAATACTTCCTTCCAGTCTGTCCAAAATGTCCTAGCACAAAAGCACAACCCCACCCTGAAGCGTCACAAAGCCAGACTGTAAACGTTTTGCCAGCAAGCACAGCCCAAGCCACACTAATACACAAATGATTGGTAACATCCCCCTGCCAGCCAGAACTACTATTTCTATGCTATGTTCTATTTCCTCTTGTCCTATTTTTGGATAAATGCACTGTTATTAGGAAGTCCAGCAACTGGAAACAAAGGAAAATGTTAATACTAACCACATCTTTGTTGTTAAATCCTTATTATTATAACCGGAATGAATGAAGCCATTTTCCTCCATTCTGAAAGACCTTGTAACAGTGTGCATTCTCCATTTTTTAAAAAAAATTTAGTATTAACTCATGATTCAATGATATGGTCTATGATCATTTTAAGCTTCTAAAATGTTGCATTAATAATATAAAGTCAACAAAGTCAATGGCATTCTTATCGTCACCATTAATTCTTAGCAAAATAACAACAGCCACTATTGGCCGAACCCTTATTATGTACCAAGCCGTGACAGGCTCTCTACAAACATCGAATTGTTTTTGTTTGTTTTTTGCAACTCCTGATATTAACCAACTGATGAGACATTTGCCCTCATTCCTGAAGCTTATCAGAATCAGGGCAAGGATTCCAAGCCAGGTACTTTTTATTGCAAAGTTTGTACTCTTTTGCAGGGATGGAGGTAGTCGCCGCGCATCCAAAATCCCTTCCAAGCTCTTGCGTTCATCCATGTGTTGCTTCCACAGCGCTGGGTGGAGGTCTGAAATGCGTGGCTTCCAGGAAGCACTTGAAGGAAAGGCTCTAATTGCTCCGGGGAGGCTGACCCCTTGATTATATCCTAGGAGTTCTCATGCTTGCTTACCATGAGACATGGGACTCCAAAAAGGCAAGACCGTCTCACGGTAGGTGACTTAGGAGCTTGGCATCACATAATTTCAATTTTTTTTTAAGGAAAAAAAAAAAAACACGTAAATGAACTCATTTGACACCTCCAACAGGTGAACAGAGGCACATTAGTTTATTGCCAGCTGAAAACACTAGGGCACAGAGAGATCCAGCCACACACTTGCCTGAGGGACAAGGGACTCTCAGATCACTGCCTTTCTCCTCCCAGTGGCCTGAACAAAGAGACACAGAGAGAAAGACGAAGGTGGAGAGAGACGCCCTGTGTTGGCGGTGGCCAGTGAAGGATTCAGGGACGGCACGAAGGGGCTAAGAGCACATCCTGTGGAGGAATAATCCCGCAGTAAAACGCAAGAATAGCAGAAGCTCATGCGTGAAGAAAGACAGGAACGGAGCATCCGATAAACTCCATCAGAAGGATCAAGTGAAGAGTTTCCGGCATTTGCTTGTGGTGGGCAAATTCCTACACCGGCTCCCTGGCCCTTCCCGCCCTAATCCCTGGGACTGTCAAGGGATGAGGGAGCACGCCCTGGTTATGTCAGATTACGTGGCCAAAGGGATTTTGCAGATGTAACGAAGGGTGCTAAGCAGTTAACTGGGAGTTGATCAAGGGGGAGATTATCGGTGCAAGCCTGAGGTAACCCACGGAGCCCTATAAGGCAGAGTTCTCTCCAGCTGGGGGCAGAAGTGGGCACCAGAGTGAGTCCAGGCGCCGCCACAGGCTCTGAAGATGCAGGGGACTGGCTGCTGAAGAAGTAGGATGGTTCTAGCACCTGAGGGCAGCCCTGGCT